GAGAGAGAAATGATTTGGAAAATATTTGAACACCTTATCTTAAAATATTTTATTCATCATGTTAAAATAAAGCATTCCATAATCAATTTTTTTTTTTCAATTTTTCCAATTTTTCAGAAAAAAACAAAAAAGGCTTCAGGAAAAAAATGGGGAAAAAACGTTTTTTCCCCCTAATTTTTCTGGTTTTTTTCTGGGCCTTCATATCTCTAGTTAAGACGCTGAGCTGCAGACTGGAAGGTTGGTAGCTCGGCAGTTTGAGACCCTACTGCCGTGTGATGGAGTGAGCTCCCGTCTCTGGCCCCAGCTCCTGCCAACTTAGCAGTTCAAAAGCAAGAAACTGCAAGTAGGTAAATAGGTACCACTTCGGTGGGAGGGTAACAGCATTCCGTGTGCCTCAGCATTTAGTCTTTGGAGTTTTTGGACAGCTCTGGCTCTTCGGCTTGGAAAGAGATGAGCACCACCCCCTAGAGTTGGATTCAACTGACTTTCGAGCAAGAGAAACCTTTACTAGTATAGGGACTATGTGACACTGTCCACCTTTTACAAGTGCTCTTACCTCCACATAGCCAGAAAGTGGGAAGTCTTTTCGGAAAGGGTGGCCCTCAAACCCGTAGTCTGTGAGAATTCGTCTCAAGTCAGGGTGGTTAGCAAAAAATACTCCAAACATATCCCAGACCTAGAGGTGTGGGAATCAGAAAGGCAGAAGGTTAAAACATTTTTAAAGGCCATCTTTAATGAGTCAGTAGCTTGTTAGGTTGATTTTTACAATATGGCTTCTGATATCCCCAAGATGATACATCAAGCAACCTTTGCTAAGTGGGAGGAGAAGAGGCAAGTGCCAGATATTTAGTGGAATGCCTTGATCACTTGACTGAATGTTCATCCTGAAGTAGTCCTGCCCAGAATTCTTCTAAAAATGCAGATATTCCCCCAGTTTTTCTTGAAAGGGGGTTCCCCAGCAACAATACCAATAGATCAAAAGAGAAATAAATAATGAGAAATAAAGTTTTTCTACTGTCACCAAGCTCTAGAAAGATAGGATTAGGGTTAAAAATCAGAGTAGTGATCAGACTGTCACACTAGGCAAGATCTGGGATGAAATCCTTGCTCTACTATGAAGTTCAGTTGGTCACTTTGGGCCAGACTCTCTTAGCCTAACCTATCTCACAGGGTTGTTGTAGGAATAAAGGAAGTGGGGACAAGGTTGACCCATTTGTGATCTGACAGATTCTGTCACATTCAGCACAAAATGTTGTAGTTTGGAAAAACAGGAGTGGATTCAGCCACTACCCTACCACTCCACTGAGCAAAGGTTGAAGGCCTTCCTCCAGTGGGAAAAAAACCACTAAAATTGAAGGAAGCTCATTTAGAAGGAGGAAGTTCCTCCACCCTAAGGTTAGACCTGTACCAAAATCTTTCTTAGCCATATACAGACCAATTACTTTTCGAATCAACTAGAAGAATCCCAATTTCAGTTCAAGAGACTCAGAAACTACACTTCCCTAACAGGAAGTCCTGATGGGGAACTCTGGAAAGAGTAATTTGCAGGAAAGAGCTGTTCACAGAATCACCCCCTCTCTGCCAGATAATCCCTTCCTCCCTTCATAAAGATAGTTTATGGTCTGGCAAACAGGGTCAACAGCAGAGAAAGGGATGGGCGGCTGCGTATGAGCATGTGGGCATGTCCCTCCTTTGAACTCTCAAAAGTGGCCAGAAGAACCTGATTCAAGCAATTTCAAGTCAAGGATGTGGCAATTCTTCAGGATGTTTAGATAACCAGGCATTTTAATTGAGTGTGCAGTGCTCTACAGTATTTTGAACACAGAATTCAGGGCTTATAGTTTTGACATGTCTGCTTTTAGTCTTCAAAATATCCCTCTTTTATTTACCTCAAATCACTACAAGATACAAGGAAGACTGCTGGCCTTTATAATTCCAATGGAGAGAGACCTTTTTTCCCTTGCTTAGAGAAACTAGACTGCAACCTGACACTAAAGGCACCCATGTGTATCTTTCCTGCCAGCATTCAGCACAGGGATGGTGATGAGAAAAGTCCTTTAAAATCATGGCCAGAAACATTTATTTTTCTCCCCCCACCTTTAAAAAAAAATGTAATATCCAGCCTCAGGAACAATTCTGAAGAACTCGAAAGCTTGCTCATTGTTTTGTGTCATTTTAGTTGGACCTAATAAAAGCTATTATATGGACTGTGGTTTGTATACAAAAACCCCTGCAGACATCACTATAATCTCTAAACCACAGTGCTTTTCATAACCTCATCTGCAATTATGTGCTCTCCTCGGTGGAATAGAAATCAGCGCTGTCTTCTATTCCTAAATGTCAGTGTCCTTAGCGCTCACCTCTCTTTCATACCAATTTGCTGCTTGATGTACTGGGACCACCGAATCAACAGGTGTCAGTTCATCAGTATATGTTTTTACACGAATCCGGGAGTTGAAACGCAGAGATAGGAGATTGTAAACCAGCTAAGAGAGAACATTAAGAAGCAATAAGAAGCAGTGATGTTACAGACTAAAACAAATTCTTCTGTTACAGGACAAAATTGTAATATGGTTTCCACCATGACTGTGATACAGACACTTTTGAAGAGATACAAAGTAACTTGACTCCAGCAGAACATTTCTGTTGGCACAAGGATTTCTGCCTGCAGACCTCATTTTACTTGCCTTGTTCTGTCTACTGCAGCCAAAAATGCCCCCCATGCTGCTCTGGGAAGATAGGGACCCCCAGGAATAGGACTGGGGGGGGGCATTATGGCAAGAAAGTCACAGTCCATGGGCATAAATCCTTTCACCCACAGAAACACTTCATTGGATCCAAAACCCAAACCTAGCATGCTTACCCCCCCCTGGGATGCTGATTACAAATGAGACCAAATTACTGCTAGCTGGAATGGAAGGACAGAAAAAGATGGGGAAGTTGGCCTACTCAGTCCCAAGATAGCTAATAGTCTCACTTATAGAGGTGTATGTTCAGGGTGAGTCAGAAGTTTCACACGATTTCTCATGGAGCTCCAGCACACAGATGATTTATTTTAATTGATTAAGAAGCTCAGGGAAGCAGAATACAGACTGCATAGGGACAGACAGATTAGGGTCAGATTAATGACTATCCAGGCACATTGAGCAAACATTTCTTTTAATTCCTAAAACACCTTTTGATTTCCTAGGCAACTTTTTAAAGTAGTTTAAGCAACAACACTTCCTCAAGACAAGTGTCCCTAACCAGACACAGTGCTTAATGCTTAAACAACCACTGCATTATATAAAACTTGAAAAGGATGTCTATCACAGCAGCAAAGGGATATGGTCATTCAGAAGCTGTAACTCTACTGGTCAGTAAGCATGAGGTCATGGCAACAAAAGGGCTAGCTAACTAGATGACATCCCCACAGTTCTGTTTAGCTATACAAGACTCCATTTTTTTCCTTGGAAGACTTTGCATCTCAGAATCCACTTTGTAGCAGCTTTTACCTCAAAGCGGTGCAGTCGAGATGGAACATCAACAGCTGTCAGATCAGCTAAGGACTTAAACTGGGCATTTGTGTGGTCTTTCAGAAAGGTCAGCACTGGAATGATCCCATCTGGATGAATTAAAATTTCCAGCTCGTTGAAACATGTTACCTGGTAGAGAAAGAAACGGTAATATGTTGAATACATCCACTGCATCAAAATGTGCAATCTCATATACATTTACTTGGAACTAAGTCCTAAGCAAGCCCACAGAACTATTTCCAAACCAATGTGTTCAAAGATTATAAAAAGCTAAAACAAGGACACCTCTGAATGGAGTACAGAATGGCAAACCCAGGAATTGTCAGTTAGCTTCCAGCTCTTCCTTGCACATATCTTCACATGGATCATGATCCTTGCCCCTCCCATTCCAAGAAAGAAAGGTACCTACTTGAGCTTGCTGAACATACTTGGGCAGGATCTCAGCCACATATTCTCCAAAGGCATACAGCTGCTTTTGTGTCACTTCATCTTTTGGTCTAACAGTGGCTGAAAAGAAAGTTACCAATTTCATGATATAATAAACCACAGAAAAGAACTACATCGGGTCACAGTGTGGAGCTCAACACAGTTCCGGTGGCTATCAGACAGAGATTAGTTCAGGACGAATGAACAGGGTCAGGAAAAGAAATATACTGATAAGGCACAAACTCCAAGAGGATGTGAATAGATCAAAGATAATCACCGTTTCCTGTCCCCCCCCCCGACCTGGCCACAGTAATCCATGCAACAGACACTTCCAGACTGGACTACTGTAACTTGCTCTATGCTGGGCTGCCCTTGAAAATGACCCGGAAGCTCCAACTGGTCTAGAATGCAGCAGCGGGAACACCACGGACAGCACTTATACAACCTGTGCTGCGCCAGCTACACTGGTTACCGGTGGAATACTGAGTCAGGTTCCAGGTATTAGTGTTGAATTTTAAGACCTTGTCCTGCCAACCTAGCAGTTCGAAAGCAAGAAATTGCAAGTAGATAAATAGGTACCACTTTGGTGGGAAGGTAACAGAGTTCCGTGCGCCTTGGTGTTTAGTCATGCCAGTCACATGACCACGGAAACGTCTTCGGACAGCGCTGGCTCTTCGGCTTTGAAACGGAGATGAGCACCGCAACCCTAGAGTCGGACTCGACTGGCTTTCAAGCAAGGGAACCTTTACCTTAAGGCCTTGAGCGGTCAAGGACCCACATATCTTTGGGACTGCCTCCTCCAATATGTCCCCATAAGAGTGCAGAGATCAGCTGGTAACAACTTACGGGTGATCCCCAGCCCTGGGGAGGTCCAGCTGTCTTCGACTAGGGCCAGGGCCTTTTCGGTCCTGACCCTGACCTGGTGGAACTCTCTGCCGAATAACAGCAGGGCCCGACGGGATCTGATGCAATTCTGTAGGGCCTGTAAGAGATGCTCAGCCAGGCTTTTAGTTGAGGACAGCAACCATTAAGACTGGTACCCTTCTTTCCTACCTATGGCCCCACATCCCCTTCCCTGCCCTGTTGCTCAGAGAGCACTGCAGCCAACAAAATGGGGTGATCGCCATCTGAACTGGTCATTTTATTAATGTACTATAATAATAATTTTATTTATCAATATGTTGTCAAAGGCTAAACACAAAATGCTCTACATCTTACAACAGCACTATAGATAAAATTAGAATTTCAACAGCCAATTCATATGCAAAGGAACCTCCACAGGAAAGTTCCTCCATTAGCATGTCACCACCTGGGAAACACCTACAAGATAATGACTCAGCCCTACCCCACCTTCCTGAGTAGATATAAATTACCTGCCTACCATTTTTCTTCTCACCTTGACACAGAGTGTCATCTTTCTGTGTTATACCTCTGAGGATGCCAGTCACAGCTGCTGGTGAAACGTCAGGTCCTACAATGCCAAGACCACGGCCATACAACCCGGAAAATCTACAACAGCTTATAATTTTATTTATCAATTGTATTTTATTTGTTTTAAGGCTGTAAATCACTCAGAGCACACTTGCGGGGTTGGGCGATTCAAAAATCTTAATATTAATAACAATAACAATAATAACAATACTACTAATAATAATATATTCAGTGCTAAACCAGCATATCAATGTCTAAAAACCCTGTAGAACAAAATTTAGGATAAATACAGATGATCATGTACCAAATGGTAATTTTCCATAAGGAGCATACAATTATATGGGAAGCTGATTGCCTATTGTATCTTCCCCAATGTAAGCAGAATTTTGCCCAACCGATTTTCCAGGGAAACAGAGATGTGGTAAAGTTCTGCTAGCCTGCCACATATTTACTTATTTAAAATATTTATATGCCTACTTTTCTCCCAGGCACCCCAACACCCAGGGTGGGTAACGACAATATAAAAACAATTTAATAAAACAATAAGCACTAAAATGACAGTTATACAAAGATATTACAAACAAAACTAAAAACACCTTCCACCCCACCAACAGAACACTCCCCGTTTGCCCAGGCTGCTCCAAAGTTGTCTGGGATAACGCCATCTTTTAGCCTGCTCAAAAGCCAACTTTTTGAAGAACAGTTATGTTCACCCTTTAAAGAACTTCTACAAAATATAGGACTAACAGGAAAGATTCCAAATTCCTGGCAACAAGCTACAATTACATTGATTCATAAAGCAGGCACAGACGATAAAGATATTAAAAAATATAGGCCGATCTCATTACTGAATGCCGATTATAAGATATA